CCAATGTTTGAAGGAATATTTCCATATGGATATAGCTGGCAGTAACAATACTGGAAACTCAGTACCAATGTTTGAAGAAATACTTCCATATGGATATAGCTGGCAGTAACAATACTGGAAACTCAGTAGTGATGTTTGAAGGAATACTTCCATATGGATATATGTGGCAGTAACAATACTGGAAACTCAATACCAATGTTTGAAGGAATATTTCTTTGTGTATTTTGATCATTTGTTTTTCTTCTGTGATTTGCAATCCTTCTAGTTATTAGTGATATGGAAACTATCATTTTCACTCTGATCACTCAACAGTCGTCTTATCAAATATTTGTCGGTTTTCACATCCATGCTCTAGTGTCGTCTGCTGGTAAATCAAGGCACTGAGGTAGAAATAACACGAAAAGGATATTGTTGTTGTTTAAGCGAAAAGCTATCTGCATTCTGATTACCGGGCGAAATCGAGCCCTAGATTTTAGTGTTGAAAGTCCGTATACTTAACACTGACCCATCTAGAGGATAAAAGAAAAGGAGAGAATACGGATTTTGGGGTACAGGTAAATAAGATAGCCCCAAAAAAACTCAAAAATTGATATTTTTGTTGTTGGATTTTGGATTCCGCGCAAAGCTAGTCGAGGGTTATTTGTGTTAGCCGTTCCTAATTTTGAAGTGAAACAAATGACTTCAGAAGCATATCATATAAAAATCTGTCCTTTCTAATTCTTTACAGAGATTTCTACAGACCAGTAAATTATATTCCTTGAGAAGCTAATGTGTTTTTAGCATTCCCTAGTAGTAGTTTGATAACTAAATGGCGTTTGTTTGTTTGTATACATTATATTCCTTGAGAAGCTAATGTGTTTTTAGCATTCCCTAGTAGTAGTTTGATAACTAAATGACGTTTGTTTGTTTGTATACATTATATTCCTTGAGAAGCTAATGTGTTTTTAGCATTCCCTAGTAGTAGTTTGATAACTAAATGACGTTTGTTTCTTTGTATACATTATATTCCTCGAGAAGCTAATGTGTTTTCATCATTCCCTAGTAGTAGTTTGATAACTAAATGGCGTTTGTTTGTTTGTATACATTATATTCCTTGAGAAGCTAATGTGTTTTCAGCATTCCCTAGTAGTAGTTTGATAACTAAATGACGTTTGTTTCTTTGTATACATTATATTCCTTGAGAAGCTAATGTGTTTTCATCATTCCCTAGTAGTAGTTTGATAACTAAATGACGTTTGTTTGTTTGTATACATTATATTCCTTGAGAAGCTAATGTGTTTTTAGCATTCCCTAGTAGTAGTTCGATAACTAAATGACGTTTGTTTGTTTGTATACATTATATTCCTTGAGAAGCTAATGTGTTTTTAGCATTCCCTAGTAGTAGTTTGATAACTAAATGACGTTTGTTTGTTTGTATACATTATATTCCTTGAGAAGCTAATGTGTTTTTAGCATTCCCTAGTAGTAGTTCGATAACTAAATGGCGTTTGTTTGTTTGTATACATTATATTCCTTCAGAAGCTAATGTGTCTTCAGCATTCCCTAGTAGTAGTTTGATAACTAAATGGCGTTTGTTTGCTTGTATACATTATATTCCTTGAGAAACTAATGTGTTTTCAGCATTCCCTAGTAGTAGTTCGATAACTAAATGGCGTTTCTTTGTTTGTATACATTATATTCCTTCAGAAGCTAATGTGTTTTCATCATTCCCTAGTAGTAGTTTGATAACTAAATGGCGTTTGTTTGTTTGTATACATTATATTCCTTGAGAAGCTAATGTGTTTTCATCATTCCCTAGTAGTAGTTTGATAACTAAATGGCGTTAGTTTGTTTGTATACATTATATTCCTTCAGAAGCTAATGTGTTTTCAGCATTCCCTTAGTAGTAGTTTGATAACTAAATGGCGTTTGTTTGTTTGTATACATTTTAATTCGTGCTTTAAATACTGTTGATACATTAAATAACAGTCCGGATAAAATGGATTGATATTTTAAAAAAAAGAAACAAACTGGAAAATGTTGTAAACTGAGTTGATAATTTATACAAAATGTTGATGAAATGTGAAATCTTGATGAGCTATTTCCATCTATAATCAATTTTACAGATATTCGACAGTATCGAGACTTTAACATTGAACGTTTTATGTAATGTTGATACTTACACCCCCTAGTGCTATTATCACATAACGAATATATTTTTTTATGCGCTTTTATGGACTATAGGTAGATATCAAACTTTTGTTCCGTCTCTGTTCGTTTGTTAATTTCCCGTAG